ACAGCCCTCGGTGACCCTCGTCCGCGGGTCGAATCTGGTGAGGCAACACAGGAGGGGAGAGGGTGCGGGAACACAGGAGGGGAGAGGGTGGGGGAACACAGGAGGGGAGAGGGTGGGGGAACACAGGAGGGGAGAGGGTGGGGGAACACAGGAGGGGAGAGGGTGGGGGAACACAGGAGGGGAGAGGGTGGGGGAACACAGGAGGGGAGAGGGTGCGGGAACACAGGAGGGGAGAGGGTGCGGGAACACAGGAGGGGAGAGGGTGGGGGAACACAGGAGGGGAGAGGGTGGGGGAACACAGGAGGGGAGAGGGTGGGGGAACACAGGAGGGGAGAGGGTGGGGGAACACAGGAGGAGAGGGGAGGGGGGGAAAGACGAACCACACACGAGTGAAGCTGCTGCCAGGGCAAGAGTGTACCAGACGCAGAACTGACACCGGGGGGAGTGGAGGGGGTGGGAGGGCGGCATGCAAACCAGGTGCGGAGTTGGGGCGACACGACAGCAACTACATAATGTCGTCACGCGTGTCACGCCCCCCCACACACGCAAGCACCGTCTTGTGCTGTTCACGCAAGCACCGTCTTGTGCTGTTCACTCCCCCCCCACCGGTGCATGTCTGTGCGTTCGCCTGTATGTCTCTCCACCCTTAATTTTGCGTCCCCTTAATTGCATGCATCAGCCCATCCCTGTTTGGGATCCTGATGACCTAGTTTCCAGGAGCTCAAGGGGTAAGTCCTCTAGCAAGAGCATCACCACCACCAGCAACAGCAGCAGCAGCAGGCGCAGAAGCGACAACGCTAAAACTGAATAGCACTATTTCCAAGATCGTATTTCAAAAGCATTCCCTCCCGCCCGCCCTCCCTCGCTCTCTCCCTCCCTCCTGTTCCCTCCCTCCCTCCCGCCCGCCCGCCCTCCAGGACGTACGGTGGCGTACGACCAGGCGATCTTGGCCAGCGCATTGCCATCCAGATCCCCCAGTCGGTCCATCAGTAACACGCCTGCATGGCCCGCGAGGAACGGGAGGGGAGGGAGAGGAGAGGGCGGCGCGAGGACAATCATAAAATTGTACAAAAAAACACAGGGATGAAACGGAGGACGGTCGACGGTAGGAGGAAGCGGGTGCATCATCCTCATTTTCATGTTGAGAACGACGAGAATAATGCAAAAAACTTCATCAGCTGCTGAGACCCAAGTGCTAAGACGACAAAGTGAAACCAACCACGGAACAATCCCGGCCCGGCACCACACAGGTAAAGGTAACCTTCCCGGACGCTATTCCCAAGCGTAGTAACCGACAAGTGTACGACGGAGCATGCGATGTCACAGTCTGTCAAGATGTCAGTATGTGGTAACCCCGAGGAACGAGGTGAAAGGGGCGCAGGGATGGGAACAGCACTTCCAAACGCCATGTATTGAGCTAGGACATCTCTTTTCTGCCTGCCCCTCCCTCCCTCCCGCCCCTCCCTCCCCCC